CTATTTGACCATGATGATTGAGAAAATGACTTTCATGCAATCTGTTTAATAATGCTATGAATTCATTTCTATATTCTATAGATAAATATTCATAAAGTCTTTATATTGGATAATTAGCAAATTAATCATTCACTAATTTTCGAAATGAACTATACATTATTTAGATTAATACCTCTCAGAAACTGAAACTTCTTCTTCCCAAAGTCTTTATCTCCATTAAGGTCCTGCATATACTATTGCTTTTTCTGCTACATTACTACCATACTTATCAAGGGACATTGAAACAAAATCCTTGATTAGATAATTATTCAATAGTAATCTTTTGTGATTCTCTTAACCTTTTTCCAATATTTATTAAATGATATAATTAGCATATTATCTTCTTATCAAACATGATGAATTTTATATAGTTCTTAGTATAATTTCATTTGCAATAGATTTAGTATTTGGATCAATAAGTTTTGGAAATATATCTATAATTTTATTAACAATTAAACATCCATATTAATCAGTTGATAATTCTAATGAATATTAATTTTGATTTAAAATCTAATATTTAATAAGTAGTTTACATATTTATCGAATATTTTTAAAAGTGATTCTAAATTTTATTCATCAAAAACATCTAAACTTTTAGAAAATATTTGATTTCCAATTTTATCAGTATATAATCTTCTTGTGAAATTGCAGTCTTCCAAAATAAAATTAGTATATTTTTATAATTAAGGTTTAGACTCTGAAGAATATAAGGACATAATCTCTAATCCCTTCTGCATTACCTTACAAGCATGAAGATCAAATACTAATTTCTTAATAGAATGAAACAATTAGTCTATAATAAGGTTTCTAAAATTTGTTGGTCCTAATTTATTTATAATTAATACCAATTTCAATAATTTTTTCCAGTATATAATGCATATACTTGTCTAAACTTAGATGAACAATATTATTTTTAATATAAGTGTTAAAAACATGTTCCCTTTCTTTTTTATTAGCTTACTCATATTCCTATTACATTTTCCTAGAGTTCCTTGTAAGCTTTTCATGACTCAAATATGAAGACCTAAGTTTTTTAATTTTGTATTGTATACATATCAGCAGAAAAAGCTTAAATTAATGAAGGTCGATAATTATCAGTAAGTAATACATTCTAAAGTTGTTTATTCAAAGAGTTGAATTCATCATCTAAATAATAATATGGATATTTTACCATCTTAATTAAGATGATCCTCAAAAAGTTAAGAACAGAAGACATTAGATGAATGGATATTCTCTAATAATCCTGGTGTTGCAGTAGAATTACTTTAGCTTGGTAAGCATTAGTTAAATTCATCTTAGTCAGAATTAAATTCGATTGGGATTTGATTTGACACTATTTTATTTAACATTTAATTATTAATAAAAAATAGCATCATCTAATTTAGAATAAATTGACACAATATTTAAAAACATTTCTTTTCATAAAATCTAATTTTAAAATTATTCTTTCAAACATTACGCATCATCCAAGTTTTTAAATATATCTCTCTTTTATTGTTTAATTTATAATTAAGAAATATAGTTTGAATAACTTATTTCATCTGATGATGATTTGGATACAAAGTATTATAATGATAATTATGAAAACTTTTAATTTTTCTATTTAACAATCATTTTGAGTGTTATAAATCTAACAAAAAAAAATAATTATCTTGATTTAGCCAAATAAAACTACTATATAGATATTTCTAAACTAAAAGAATAGCCCAATAGAAAAACTAATGAGTTAGTTTCATAGCTAGTTATTTTTATGAATTAATTTAATTCAAATCAATTATCATATGTTATCTCTTGAAAAGAACTAATTATTATTAAAAAACTCTAAATTACAGATAAAATATTCATACTCTTTCTTTTTTTTATTTTTTACTATTCTTTGTGGTCTTGTATTTATATTTATATTTCGAGATCATTAATCCTTAATGTTTGTTATTTTAATTCCTAAAAGAATAAATAGATATCATAAAAACTAATAAATAAAGAAAACATATTCTTTCTTTATCATAGTAGAAATATAAAATACTAAAAAAATAAATCTATTTTTAATAATGAATGCTTAATGATTTTACTAAATAGTAGTTTATTGCTGTAAAAATACTAAAATATTAACGTAATATTTTATAATCATTATAGTAACTGTTCATTTGAAATAAGTTTATAATTTAAATCTTCTAAAATCTTTTATATTTTTCTATCTCCATTCAATAAATTTATTCATTCCAATCTTAATCATCATTAATACATTATAATGCCCTATACAGAAATTAAAATTTAATTATACTTGTATATTGATTCGTGATTATTATTCAGAAACAAATCTGAATAATAATTAATTTAGTAACATACTAATTCTATGATCTTATAAATAATCTAATATTATCTACTATTAAAATATTGCAAATTCATATTTCTTATCTTATATCTATTTATACATTCATCCTCTATAATTAACTAATTTACTGAAATATTAATAAAATTCATTTATTACTCTATTTTCTCTCCTTCTATACAATCCAAAATCTTAAATAAAATTAATTTATTATTCTATACAAATAAATAATAAATAAGATCATTTTTATTAAATTCTTCTTTATATTTAGATCTCTGTAATATCATTTTTTTTACTTCAAATTTATTTTCTTTAAATTCTTCTTAGTTAATTTATTATACTCTTTAGATGTATTACTTTCAACAATATTTTTCAATAAATTTCTCTTTATTAATATCACTATTTATATACATCAATCTCATTATATTCTGGATCAAAATCTGAATTAAATTAATCATTTCAATTCAATTTAGTATTATTATTTATTCCTTAAGTTAATTAAATTTTTTAACATATGCTATCTAATTCTTAAATGACTAGATTTACGTAATTTATAATAATTAAATGGGTAATGCTAGTACTTGTTGTTCGCATCCTATAGTACAAAATAAAGATGCTTTAATTCCCTACCAGAAGAATATGTTAGTGAATGAAGACTGTGACGTTCATGAATGGGAAGCAGATGATTTTGTAAAGATTGGTCTTTGTAAATGAATAAAATATATTTGATACAGAAAGCCATCCAGTCAAAGAACATAAGCTTTTTGATCAGCCTTCTGTTATACGGAGAATGGAGAGTGTTGAGGCACCTAAATTAGGGTAACGATTGGAAGCATTTCCTGAGATTGAAAATCAAATAGTAAGGACAGTCTTAAGTTAATTACCTCAACTTAATATACCACAAGATATGGATAGAGGTGAAGAAAATCCACCAATTAAATTTGATAATGATTTCATTTATCATGGAGAATGGAAAGATAGTCAAAAACATGGATATGGAAAATTGTTATGGCCAGATGGTAGCTATTATGAAGGTGGATTTGTGAACAATGAAACATCTGGATTTGGAAGATTAATTCACTCATTTGGAGATTATTATGAAGGAATTTGGAAACATGACTAAGCTAATGGCTATGGTAAATACCACCGATACAGGAATTAAGCTACTTATGAAGGGAACTGGGTTAATGACAAGTAGTAAGGTTAAGGTAAAGAAACATGGCAAGATGGATCATCTTATGAAGGGGAGTATTATAATGGAAAAAAATAAGGAAGGGGGATGTTTAAATGGGGCAATGGCAATATGTATATTGGAGATTTCAAGAATAATAAAATGGATGGACATGGAGTTTATTATTGGAAGAGTGGAAAAGTCTATGATGGTGAATGGAAAGAAAATAGAATGGATGGAGAAGGAGTAAATTAATTAGTTTTATATATCATAGTCATTCAATTGGCCTGATGGTAGGAAATATAAAGGAGGTTATAAGAATGATCTTAAAGAAGGTTATGGAGTATTCGAATGGTCAGATGGACGTTATTATAAAGGAGAATGGAAATAAGGTAAATAACACGGCAAAGGAGTTTTAAGGATGGATTAATCAAAGGAAATAACTGCTGAATGGGTCAATGGCAAAATGCTCACGGATAAATAAATGGAGTAATAAGCTACAGGTTCATGATACTTTTTATATATAAAATCATTAATAAATTCGATTATTTTTAGATTCTTAATATTTCGTTATCTTTTCAAAATATAAATAAAAAATAGATTTATAAATCGATATCATCAATAAATTTATAAGATATAGCAAATATTGTATGGCATATTAAAATAAGAATAAGAATTCTTTGAATATTTAATTCACAATGATAAAAAATTTGCAATTAAAATATTTTTAATTCTTAGTCAAAAAGTCTTATAAAATTTTGAATCAGCTTATCGCCAATTCTATAAAATTGAACAAGTATTTATTCAAAGTAATAAGAGTATAATTTGTTATTTTATTGATTATCTCATCGACTATGATAAGATATAAAATATTGAGACTAAACTAGATTATTTATAAGATATAAATAATACTCTAAAATATTTTACTAATTATTTATTCTGAATTATAAACTTTCTATCAGCCCATTATTTCTTTAAGATTATATATGAATTTAAAATATTATAATAGATAAATTGATATTATAATATTGATTCAATTTTTAAAGTAATTGAAGTATGTTGTGTTTAAAGCAAAAATTAAAAAAAAAATATTTAATAATTCCTAATTTTTCTTATATACAAATTTTTAATTGTAAACTATTTATCATTAATTTAATTTTTGATATTTCACATTTATTCTTTAAATAATCCCTATTAAATTAGAATTTGATAATATAAAATAAAATACTTTTAACAAAATACATGTATCAATAAAAGTATTCTTATTAGCATTCATTATGAATAGATTTACTAAGAAATCTGATTTAATTCAAATTTTCAAATTATTTTAAACATTTAAGATGATGCGCACTATTCACAACAGTATATAAGAATATAATATTGATTTTTAATAAGTTATTTAAAATTTTAAGTAATTCTTTAAGAATTAATATGATTTTAATAATAATATATTCTAATATATTTATATATGGTTAATCAATTATTAATTTATAGGGCATTCATAGCAGGTAGTTTAGGAGTTGGCTATTTCATCTATAGGAAGATGTTGTCAGCAACAATGGTCAATCATAATTTGTTATTAAATTAAACCCAAACAAATGATCTATATAATAGAAACTATGCTTAAGGTGCAAACAATGCTATCATAGCAGGTCACAATGTTAATAGACAAGAAGTTATAAATGAAAGAAAGAAAGTCTTAATTATTGGTGCAGGCATCATTGGAATTGCTTAATCTTTAAAATTATTATCAGAAGGCTATAGTGTAATATTAGTTGATAAGGATTAAGATATAGCTTAATAGGCTAGTTACTATAATGGATGTGTTTATGTACCTGAATCTGTGAAAACTATGATTAATCCAGCAAATATGTGGACATTGATTAAGAATATTTTTAAGAATCCGGAAGACACTACATTAAGATTTAATATGAATGCCTTCTTTGAGAAGTATTTTATGATTTGGAGTTTAAATGCTTTATTAAAAACTACTTCCAAGTAACTATGAATTGAATATTAGTTCGAAAGTTCATTCATTAGTTGAACATCAATTATAAATGGGGAGAATTAATATGATAGAAATGGAAAAGTTACAAAAGAATACAAATATTTTAGAGGGTTAATTGACATGTAAGGAACTCTTAGGTTTCTATGATTCAGAAATAAGCAAATCATCAATGATGTAAACTTTGGATAAATTTAATATTAAACATTCTGAAAAATAAAAGTTTAAATCTGGCTATGGCTAATTGGTATCAGAGAAATTATAACATTGTATTAAGTTTGATGTTGGAAGCAATATAGATACAAGACAGTTATCTGAAAGGATAATAGATTATTGTATTGATAATTTTTCAGGCCGTTTTTATATTTCCACTAATACAAATGTAAAAGGATTTGCATTAGATCCAAAAGGATAAATAATTGGAGCGATGACAAGCTAAGGAATTATTTTAGCTGATTATTTTGTTATTGCAGGTGCTCATAAGACTAAATATTTAACTGATAAATTAGGAATTAGAGTTCCAATAATGCCTGTTAAAGGATGGGCATTAGGAATAAGAGTGCCTAATGATACATTTTTTAAAGAATACACATTTTTTACTCCATAATATTTTTCAACATACATAAACAATGAAATTAGATTATCATGTGGAGCTGAAATTGGATCAGATTTTAGTAAAGAAATACCAAGTGAAGAATGGGGAGCAAAAATGGGATTGAAGTATTTTAATTAAGTATTATCTAATTTAATTCATAGCATTTTGGATTCAATATCAATATGGATGATTGTTATGTTAGACATTGCTATAGACCTATAACACCTGATGATATTCCTATCATAAGCTAGGTCCCTGTTTTTAATAATGTTTTTATTTCAGCAGGACATGGATCAAAAGGAATGACTTATTGTTTTGGATCTGCTGAAATTTTATTTCAGATTTTGAGTGGTATTAAAGAATATCCAGAATACAATATCAATAGATTTTACTTAGTTTGAAAATATATTAAATCAATTGAATAATATCAACTGATAACTCTTTGAAGAATTTCTTAAGCTGTGGTTCTTCCATACATTGATGCTGGTGATTGCATTATGCTACCTTTTTTGGTCTATCTTTACTTAATCTAATTTAATCTTTCAATTAGAGTCTCATATTTCATCACTTTATACTCTGCCAATTCTGGGACATCATATAATTATTACTATTACTCTACATCTTAAAATAATTCAATAATAGTCTCTTAAAGTTAATAAAAATGTTCAATTTGGTTGTATAAATCCTTTTAGTACATCTAGATGTAATTTAATAAAACATCATTACTCTTAGTACTCATAAAAACAGAACTACATGTTGTTGATATTTATGAAATTTCTGAGGTTTCTAAACTTTCCTAAACTTCATTTTATGATTAATTGTCTTTGTCTTCAATTTTTTGTCTTGAAATCATTTTAATTAGTGTTCTAATTTATTATTTTGGATTATATCTTCCTAATACTTAATTAATCTATTAGAGTTCATCAGGATTTTAATATTACTTTATTTGTTAATTTATACTAGCCTCTTTATGTTCACTTATAAGAATTTTAAATTATTCTATTCTTTTAGAATTCAAATTTTAGAAAATGATAAATTAATAGATATACTAACCAAAAGTATATATTAAAATTTGTTCGTCTATAAAATAATGTTAATTAGATGTCATATCTACTGCAATTTCTGCTAAAACATAGATTTCAGGATCATATTAAAAATTAGCTTATCCATATTATTAGATATTTGATTAATTTGTACTAATATCAATCAAATATTATATGTATCTTCTTAATAATTAGATTTTAGTATTTTACATTCTACTTTTGAATAGTTAATGTTCAAATTCTTTTCTTAATATTTTGATACATTTATTTGAATTAATTATCCATTAAGTAGTCATAAAATGACGAAATGTAAATTTTGGAATGTTATACTTATGTAATGTTTCATCTATTATTTAATTAAATTGATTAATTAATGAAGAGGTGGACCATTCCATAATACTAATCCATCCACAATAACGATCCCAAAGTTCTAAAAATGATGTCAAATTTACACTATCAAATCTCATGTTTAAATACACATTATAGATTTTAATATAATCTTGAATATTATAAATGTTCATCAATGATTATGGCATTTATATATGAACTTCACATCCTTATCTTAACTTGAGTATTTATTCAAAATGATTACTGCTATATTATTTTATTTATTCATATTCTTTTGTTTGTATTTTTTGGAACTTGCTTTCAAAATATAGAATACTTTTTTAGAATGTGCTGTAATTAAATTATTTTTCTATAAAAGTTGGATGTTGTTAAATATTGAATCTAATACTTTTAATAGCATTTTCATATGGAATGCCTTTAATAGGAGTACATAATAATAATCTTAATAATTATTTCCAATTCTTTGAATTAATTATGTCACATTTCACATTTAATATTTTCTAACAATGGATTTAATAGCAACTAGACACTTAACTAAAAATTTAATTTGTGGTGGAGCAAACTGATAATATTATATTGAATTCTTTTAATGTTAAGAAACTTGAAATTGTACTTATAATATTTATAGATAATTTGTTGAACTAGCTTAAAATGAATTTATTAATACTTTTCTAATCTAATTCCAAAAAACAATTTTAATTTATCACTAATCTTGTTTTTTTTCTTAACATTAGATTTCATATTTCCCATTTTATTTTGATATAAATTAAGGTTAATAATATTTTACAATTTTGATTTAAATTGTTCATGTTAATAACGAATACTAAAGAGTTATTTATTTATGCAAGAGAAAAATATAATATATTAATTAGAAAGTTTCCATAATTCAAATTCTATTAATTTAATTTAAATTGAGATCAAATGATGCAAGAAAAAGAATATGATTATAAAGTTTAAAATACCGAGGCAATCTAATTATATGCACATTAGTAAATGAAAGACCCTAATGAGGAATATGTAAAATTGCTAATTAAATAATTAATTAGAGTAGATAGTATAAGAAGAGAAAGCCAAATGAATAAATGCCTTATAAAGATTTAAGTGATCGAAATCCATTACTTACTATTTATAGAGCTGTTTCATATGATGGTAAATTTTTTATTTTAAATCCAGAGCCTGATAAACAAATTATAATCAATAAAATTATATAATGGTTACAGAATCAATAGAAAACGATATTACAAAGATCTGAAAAGGATAAGCTTAGTGAAAAGAGCTTCCTTAAACATATTTTAACTTAACTATGTGAAAAATAATATATAGAGCCTAATCCTAATAATAATTCTAATCCTAAAGAATTTATTGCAATGAATTAAACATTTGTTCATTATATAAATGAAGCAGTTGAAAAATAAAGTGAAGGTTATGTCAATAATATCCTTATGATGGTCTAGCCAAATATTAAAAAATATTAAAACAACAATCTAAATTATTTTGCATAAGCTGTAGCATATTAAATGAAACAATCAAAGAGATGTTTATATTTAAATCCTAATTTTAGCTTAAATTCCTACAGAGTCCTCTTACAGAAGTAATAAAGTGTTATTTATTAATTTAACTGGCAAAGAAAGCCTCTAAAACTTAGAGTCTTGGTAATAATATTTAGAGAAATCTGATGAATTTGTTTATTTCTCATTTATCAAAGTATAAGGAGAAGAATATAATGACTTAGACAATTAATTTAATGATTATTCAAACTATTTTAAATAAATGGAATAGGCTAATTTTAATTATTATTTGTTACCGTATGTTTGTCCTTAAAGTTAAGATTATAACAATACTAATATCTTACATGGATAACTTGTGAAAGCATTTTTTTCAAATTTTATGCATAATAGAATTGAGAGATTCTCTCATAAAGGCTATATAGCTTTAAGCTTATCTTTATCAGATGATATTGAATATGATCCATTCACAATCAAATTTTTGATCAATAATCTAACAAAATTGAGTAATGATAAGTTAATGATTCATATTAACATTGAAATTCCAGAAGAAGACATCACTTATGAAAAGAGATTAACATAATTAATGAATCTTTGTTATTCTTCATTTTCAGAATAAAATATTTCAATTTAGAAATTAATTCCTTAAGATAAAATTGTATTAAGTTAATTAATAGATCGTTTAAAAAAGATATATCGATATCTTAATCTAGAAAATTAATATAAATCAATCTAATATTGTGATATTGCAATAGAAAATTTATAATAATAAATTAATAGAATCAAAGAAAACCCTATTTAATATCCATTAGCCAATTTGTACTGTATCTTTTACAAGAGAAACTCTTAATAATATTTAATCATACGTCCTGAGTTGGAAAATGAAGATCAAATAACACCTTTTACATAAATAATTATAAACTATTAGGATGATATTATAATCTTATATTAAGATGGAGAAAAAAAGTTTTTGTATTTTCTTCATTTTAATAATTCATACTTTAACAAAAGGAATCTCATTGAGAAAATTAAATTGTAATTTATTAATATCTAAATTTAGCCAAAATCTAACCAATTTTTTAGAATCTGCTAACATCGCAAATCAAATTGTATTTTATTTTAATTACTAAATATATGTATTCTATGGATAACAATAAAACAATTTTAATTTGGCAGGTTAAAGAATTAACATCATCTCAATGGAATCTACTCCTTTAACATTTACTAATTAAGATAAATAATTTTAAGTGAATTTCCATTCAAAAATTGCAATTTAAAAATTAACAAACGAATAATTAATAGATAAATTGAAAAGCAGAATATCACCAACTGTTTGCATTGAAAATTATAAAGATTAAATTTTAAAGATTGTTTTATTTGGAGGAGAAAATATTGAGTAAAATTGTAATTATATCATATAGGACTCCTTAAATAATGAATTTAATAGAATATATGGAAATCAGGGATTAATAATTTACTACTGGTATTTTAGATAAAAGCAATTTATTTAAAGATATATCTTTTAAACCATTTCCAGGTCAAACCATACTGAGTACCAATTAGCAAAATGATATGTTATATTTAATATTACCTGGTAATGATGCTCTCAGAAAAAAAAGTTTAAATCATCCAATTAACACTTTATTCCATAAAAATGCTATATTAATGAAAAAAGGATGCTTAGATTACTCACTATCTAATATTCCCATTAATTATTATGGTGATATATCTTATGGATTAAATTTCATTTCTAATAGTTAATAGAACTCTTAACTTATATTTTTAGATGATAATTTAGTTATCTGGAGAGTGATATATACATAAACAATGAAAATAGAATCAATTTAGAAGCTTAAATTAGATTTTTCTTAAGCATGGGGATCTAAATGTGCAAACACTGAATTTTCACATAAAAAAGAGAAGTTATTTAAAGAATAATATCATGATATAGAAATGATTTTAGCCTACCTTATAGAAATTTAAAAAGAAATAAGTGAAGGTGATGTTAACGAATTGATTGATAAAAAAAATAAATTTGATAAATCAAAAGAAAAATCCGAATTAAATATATAAAATTAGGATGAATTATTTAAATAAAAAGATCATTTCAAATAAAAACTTGATTAGGGATAATTATTTGATTTATCAGGTAATCCTTTTAACTAGAGGGATAAAATGCAGGAAGAAAAAGGAAATCTAAATGAACAATAATAAAATCCACCAGAGTTTTTCAAATCAAATTTATTAGATATATATGATGGAGATAATAAATAATTGTATTAAATAGCATATGAGAATTATCTTTATTTGGATCTGTAAACTAAATAATTATCAGTCAAATAATTTACATATTTAATTGGAGATGCTTTAAGTCTGCCTCAAATTGATATAACCAATTAATAGTAAGTAATAAAAATTCAAAACTGATATGAGAAGATGCAAAAAATAAATGATATTTTATTAATAAATCATTAGATCAACATTTAAAAAAATTCTTTTTGTTTC